GGAGAAAGATGTTTGAAAGGGATTTTCTCTGTAAGGTATGGTCAATGAACTTTAGGAGGAGGAATGGGGCTGGGCATGGTGGCTTGCATCTGTAGTCCCAGTACTTTGGGAGGCCAAGGTGGGAGGATTGCTTGAGCCCAGGAGTTTGAGACCAGCCTGGGAACATAGTGAGATCCCCATCTCTACCATAATAAAAATTAAAATTAGCCAGATGTCATCTGTAGTCCCATCTCCTGGGGAGTCTGAAGTGGCAGGGTTACTTGAGCCCACGAGGTCAAGGCTGAAGTGAGCTGTGATCATGCCACTTCACTGCATCCTGGGTGACAGAGCAAGACTCTGTCTTGAAAACATTTTTAGAAATAGTAGAAAGAGTAATGTCTCATATTCAGTTAAAAAAAAAAAAAAACTTCAACAGTCTTTTGTTACCAAACTAGCACACGATTAACTCTAACCCAGCTAACAGCAAAATAGCATCAGTAACAAGATCAAGGATGGAGGTGCAGAAACAATAAAGACTGTCTCCTAAAAAACAAATTGGAGGCTGGGGGCAGTGGCTCACGCCTGTAATCCCAGCATGTTGGGAGGCCGAGGTGGACGGATCACCCGAGGTCAGGGGTTCAAGACCAGCCTGGCCAACATGGTGAAACCCTGTCTCTACTAAAAATTCAAAAAATTAGCCAGGCATGGTAGTGTGCACCTGTAATCCCAGCTACTTGGGAGGCTGAGGCAGGAGAATTGCTTGAACCTGGGAGGCAGACGTTGCAGTGAGCCGAGATCACACCACTGCACTCCAACCTGGGCAACAGAGAGAGACTCTGTCTCAAAAAAATAAAATAAGATAAAAAACAAATTGCGAAAATATGTACATAGTTGCATAAGTATTTTTTAAAAAAAAAACTAAAACTTTCCAGTGTTGCCGAAAAAATATCCCAAAGTGATTGCAGTCCACAAAAAACAGCATTTGGCAGTTCGTGCTGCCTTAAAAACTCCAACTCAAGATTACTCTAGGAGAAGCTCACCCCCACATTTAAGAAAAATCCCTTTTCTCCTCTTCCTTGTTCAAATTCCACTGCTTATTCCATAAAACAGCTGAAGAGTAACAAGACCCAGGTCACTTTTGTCAGCCCCTATCTGTTAAGGCTTATACCACGGACTTTTCCTTAGGAAACTTCACCTCCCCTACAATTAGGAAATTGAGCCCCGATTTCTGGGCTAGATTTCTGGAAACCTGCAGAACATCCTCATGCTTCTTTTATGGAGGGACCTGAAGGCTCCTTGAATGATCAAGTGGGCAGTGTGCCGGGCTGGGACTGGAATGCCAGCCAGGCTGGGGAAAGGGATCGTTTCTTTCTTTTTTTTTGAGATGGAGTCTCACTCTGTCACCCAGGCTGGAGTGCAGTGGCGCCATCTTGGCTCACTGCAAGCTCCGCCTCCCGGGTTCACGCCATTCTCCTGCCTCAGCCTCCCGAGTAGTTGGGACTACAGGTGCCCGCCACCACGCCTGGCTACATTTTTTGTATTTTTTTTTTTTTTTTTTTTTTTTTTTAGTAGAGATGGGGTTTCACTGTGTTAGCCAGGATGGTCTCGATTTCCTGACCTCGTGACCCGCCCGCCTCTGCCTCCCGAAGTGCTGTGATTACAGGCGTGAGCCACCGTGCCTGGCCATTGAAAAGGGTTCCTTTCTAAGCAGAAACACCCCAACACCTTGTAACTGGAAGTCTAACCAGGCAAAACCTAGTAGCAGCAGGTACAATACTAGGGCTGTACCAACAAGTGCAATCTCCCCGCTTAAACATAAAACTAAAGGTGGTAAAGAGAGCCAAGTGAATATTTGACCTCACCTGTCTTCTGAGAAGTTTGCATATTTTGGGCTGAAGCCATGTTGCAGAGAAAGACATTTGGTCAAAGAGTCGCCTTTGCTGTGTCTGGCTGGATGAAGCTGCCATTCCTGGGCATCCTGATTCATGGCTGCTTTAACGGAAGCTTTGCCCCCTTATGCAAAGTACTTACGGATTAATTCAGAAATTTTCAATTCGACTTCGTAAATGACAAATACTTTAACAGCAGCTTCTCAAAAACCACCAGTGGAAACAGACCACCCCTTAGTTGAGGATCACAGCTCCTTCTAGTCTGTGAACTTCTTGCTGGACTTCTGCAGCAGCTCATTGGTCCTGGAATAAGTGTCTGCATCCAAAGAACTCTCTATACACCAACAACCAGAAGAGATAAGCCACCTGCAGTACACAGTGCCTATCAATGGCACTGCCCTCCTTCTGAGTATAAGAGCCCACAGCAAGAAGACAAGGCCATTTAGTTCGGATTTAGCCAGGACACAACTGCATTGGCAAATGCTCCCAGCCTCTCTTAGGAGAATTGGCTTGATGGGTCTGCACAGTGAAGACAGTGAATAGAACACCTTTTTTGGCCCACCCAGATAAATCTGCATGGCCAGAATGATCAAAACCATCTGTCTGTAGGCAGCTCTTCATAAATGTTTTCCAAACTAGGCAGAGGTCGCACAGGTCTTTGGACACTAAAGCAGCGTCGTGGGCTTGATGGGGTCTGTGATATGGGTCCTATCCCAGGATGACAACCTTAACACCTCCTATGTCACATATCTGGGTCCAGGTGAAGACTTGGTGTTGGGGAGGATAAACAGTGTAATGTTTTCTTTCTTCTGCAGCAAATCCCATTCGTTTTATAGAATACAGTTTTCCAAACTCTCCATTGACGTGTTTCTTCCAACTTTCACCAAAGACCACAGGCATGGTGTGGGCCACGAGCCTGAGTAGGGCCGCAGCCTTAATTGTCTGGATGTGGAACAACTGTTCCCGGCTCAGTGGTGAGGGCGGCATGCCTGGCTTGGGGCTATGGGAATGTCGCTCCCTGGCGAGGCTTAAGAGAAGTAGAGGGTCTCTGGGTCTTCTGGCCAATCATCCTGGAGCAGAGGAGGAGCAAATGTGCTGCCCAAAGATCCGCGAGGCTCGCGTTGGGTGTGGCCATCAGCAATTGGTGCAAACCATGATAATCAGTTTAAAATTCTTTCTTATTTTTGTGCTGTAGATACTCATCAGTGATTGCCAATCTTCAGTAAGTATGTTATACCCACAGCCTTGAATTATTAGTGCCTTGCAGAATGGAGAGGGAGCTACCTTTATTAAATAATATGCCTTAAATACTTAGTGCCAGTGGCTGCCCCGGAGTGTATGCATTATGTAAATGTTAGCTAATATTATTAAATCTGGGGAAGAGCGAAATCTGCCCCAGATCAAGGAAGAGAGAGGTGATAGTTGGAGGAAATCAAGGAGGAGATGAGAGGAGTTTGGAAAGAGAAGGGACAGATAACACTGGGGACATTTAAACTCTCATCTTTACTTCCTCTGGCCCTCAACTTGCGCTACCCAAATCCTGAGGAACACTGGGGTGCATGCCTGGCTTCAAGCAGCTACTCAGATAGTTATTATCCTGGGATATTAAAGGAAAAGGGGACCCTAGAAGACCAAAGCCTTGTGACAATGGGGAACCTAGGTAATTAGTTCTCACAACTTGTTCAAGGGGACTCTGGACAGGTAAGGATAGAAGAATAGTGGGAAGAATAGTCTCCAGAATATCCAACTTAATATTATGCTCTTATTTGGCTAGTATCTCTTTTGTGTACCTGATATTATGTGATCTGGTACTGACTAGGCTAGACTATTCTCCGTGTTCTGCTAATGACAGAGATCTCTTGAAAGCAGGAGGCCACTGACCTGGTCTGAGTTCTCCCTTGTACATGATTGTATTTTACAATAAAATGATTCCGTATTTTACAATAAAATTACAATGTATTTTACAATAAAATTGCTTTGAACTAAATAAAACACAAAGCTTTGTTTATTTTTTGCCTTGTTTACTCCAAGAAAGCTATAAATTATTTTCCTTGCCTTTAATCTTTTCCTAAAGTCCAAAATGCTCAGCATGGTATTGACAGACTAGTTTTTCCAGAATAATGCTTTATTGCCAAGATTCAAAAATTGCTTCATTGCATTTAGTAGATTGAGTTCCACCTCAGGCTGGATACATCCCTACCATAGCTTGGCTTAACCATCAGTTTTATCTCTGGATGTTCATGAATCCTTCACCCAGGTCAATCTGATCTCCTGCTAGCCCAACATACCACTTTTACTCTTTTTTTCCCCACCCTACATTCCCTTCTCATGGCTGAGCCAAATTTTACCCCACCTCCAGGTCTCAGCTGACGGCCATCTTTCCTGTGAACATTTCCCAAGTGTTTTAGTCCATACTGATTTTTTCCCATGCAAGTTATGTTGACATTAGTAATCTGGATTCATCAATCAATTGAACAAGTATTTGTTAAGCACTGACAATATGTCAGGAACATAATGCAAACTTATTATTTGATTATGTGCTCATTTATATTTCTCACTTATATGTTTATGTACGTATCTCCAAGAAAACCTTAAGGATTGTAATCATTTTTATTTGTTTTCTCAGAATCAGGCACAAAATTGGAATGCAAATAAACCTTTTTTTTTTTTTTTTTTTTTGAGATGGGATTTCGCTCTTGTTGCCCAGGCTGGAGTGCAGTGGCGTGATCTTGGCTCACTGCAACCTCCGCCTCCCAGGTTCAAGCGATTCTCCTGCCTCACCCACCCGAGTAGCTGGGATTACAGGTATGCACTACCACGCCCAGCTAATTTTGTATTTTTAGTAGAGATGGGGTTTCACCATGTTGGCCAGGATGGTCTCGATCTCTTGATCTCGTGATCCACCCACTTCAGCCTCCCAAAGTGCTGGGATTACAGGCATGAGCCACGGGGTCCGGCCAACCTATCTTTAATTGACTAAATTATATCTATGATAAATTTAAATAGGATAATTAAACAGGTCATTTGTTAATTTATCAGTTTATGATCACTAACCATATAAGCTGCGTGACAGACCTTGTATTAATAAGCATTACTCTTCATATGTCTGACCTCATTAAATTTGGCATAGTGACACTTTGTTCAAAAATTTATTAATAATTCATTTTCATAGCTCGAAAAAGGACATAATCAGTAGAACAACTAAAAACAAAACCTCACCTCTACAGAGACAGCCAGTGTGTAGACTTTATTACATAGGCACATATTTTAAAAAAAAACTGGTTTTACATAAAATTAGCCACAATAGTGCAAGAGGTTATGCTGAATGAGGATGGATGATGAGTGATGGAAAATGCAAGGCTTGGATCAGCTGAATCATTCACTGGATCTTGGGTTCATTCATCCTGACACATTGAAATTTATTACAGACATTACAAGAATGGAGGGTGAGGAATGGTGCTTCTCTGTCACCACCTGGCTAGACCACTGATTTTGATTAATCTCTTGAATATGGTAGTTTTCTCCAGGTTCTCTTGGCAAGTAGATATAAAAGTTAAATGAATGCTGGCTTAAGGTCAGAGGAGTTCATATCCTTCTCTTCCTTCACCCCTATACTTTAGAACTCTCACATCCAACAGTTTGCTGTTGGGACCTGACTGTACATATGCTTTCCCTGAACTGCTCTGGTAGAACACCACTGGGGTTGCTGATCCAAAGCACAAGGAGGCGCAACAGTGCTTGAGGCTTCAGTCACAGTGTGGGGCTAGATGGCATCCCCAACTAGAATTGAGGGTTTGATCTGTGGGAGAACACAAGCAAACAGGAAGAGGATGCTGGAATTCCTTACTCTGTCCAGCTGGAATCAGTCCAACACATCTGACTACCACAAGGACAACCAGAAAAGAAACTAAAATTATACACTCAAACATACCACAAAAGAGATGCTATTTTGTAGCTTGTACATAGTTTTTTGTTCTTTTTTTTTTTTTAACTACAATTTGATGTTACTAAGAGACAATGAGGATGAGGAGGGGACTGTCCCTTTTCTCTCATCTGGTTTTGCCATAACTTACAAAGAGTCCCAGGATGTTTACTGAGTGTCTTCCTTCAATTTTCACAATATTTTATACAAAATGACACATATGTGTATATATACCTCATTGATTATCCTAGCATCCCCAGAACCTGGAGGGTTAGACCTACTTTGGTGTCAAGTAGCACCCAAATCCTAACATCCATTTTGGAGACCTGTCTGTGCCTCTTCATGCTCACACCATTGTTCTGATGCATGATGCCGGTGGAACTTCCAAAGAAGCATTCCACCTGATCTTCACCACCCTCTTTGATCCTCTTTTTAAATCTGTGTGTGGAAGGCAACTGCAAGATAGAGGATTTGGAAGGTTGTCTGTTTCTGTTGTCGGGGGAAATTATTAAAAAAAAAAAAAAAAAAAAAAAAAAGATGTGAAAAAGAAAGAGATGGACCAGCTGAGTTTTCCAATCTTCAAAATTTAAATTTCTTCGTTCTTATAAACATAGGAATAGTCATGAAAGGTGGCACCAATGGATATTTTGTAAAATAACCCATAACTTTAGAGCCGGAAAGGACTTGAAGAAACAATTAATCCAACTTCCTCACTTTTTTGTCTCAGGTAACTGAAGCCCAATTGGGAAAACAGCAACTTACTTAACATAGTGATTGTCTCCATGGCTATGTCCTTTAAAGATTCACAGAAACCCCAATTTCCCCTTAATAAATCCATTATGGCATGCCTATGAGTGACTTTATATAAACAATCCTCAATGTCCTCATATCTAGCCTTTCCTCCCTTTAGGGAAGCTGGCTGCTAACACAGCACCTGACCAGAGTAGACACTTGATAAATATTTGTTGACTTGAATTAATCCTGCTGTCTATCCCTTTTTACTATGCAATCTTTATTTTTTCCTAGAGCTGCTTTCTTTTAACTTAAAGAGATGGCTTCTAGTTCAAGTATTTTGAGGCTTGGTACCCAATGCTGATTTGTCATCTCTCTAGATTTTACTTTTTCATATTGAAATTCTTTTTTTATCTGTTCTCTTAATAGCTTTTGTTACATCCAATGATCATTTGCCTTTCTCCAGGCACTACCAAACTCATTACTATGGATAGTTTCTGCCTTTACAGGCTTCCAATTGCCAAGTTGAGAGAGACATTTTTTTTTTCAATTCTTAAAGCAACTAGACTTTCTCCAGCAGATTTGCTAAGGCACACTAGAAGAAATGTAAAAATCTCACATTCTTGTTTAGTTAATACATGGGAGAATATTACTAATGTGTACATTTGCTTTCTACATCTGTGGTTGCCTTATACATCTCCTTCTCCTTTAATTCCTTAAACACATAAATATGAGTCATGATATCTAAAGCCAGTCTCATTTAAAAAAGATAAGAAATGGTGATTTGTGGGGAATTAGCACTTAGACGTTGGTAATGTTTAGAAATCATCTTTAGGAACTTGGTGAGAATGCTCTCATTTTATGTAAAGAATTGTCATGGTTTGAATGGGACTTGGTAGTAAAGTGTGTGGACAATGCATTTACCAAATGATTTTTTTTTGTGGATTTAATTTTTTGTTAGTTTTGTTTGAAATTCCTGTTAAATTGCATTCTGGACATGACCTAAGGCTAGCTTGTCCAACCCTTGGCCCATGATGGTTTTGAATGTGGCCCATGACAAATTCATAAACTTTCTTAAAACATGCTATTTTGGCCAGGCACGGCAGCTCATGCCTGTTATCTTAGCACTCTGGAAGGCTGAGGCGGGTGGATCACCTGAGGTCAGGAGTTCAAGACCAGCTGGCCAACATGGTGAAATCCCATCTCTACTAAAAATATAAAAATTAGCCAGGCGTGGTGGTACATGCCTGTAGTCCCAGCTACTCGGGAGGTTGAGGCAGGAGAATCACTTGAATCCGGGAGGCGGAGGTTGCAGTGAGCCAATATCGTGCCACTACGCTCTAGCCTGGGTGACAGAGTGAGACTCCATCTCAAAAGAAAAAAAAAGAAAAAAAACACTAGGCATGCTTTGAAAGCTCATCAGCTGTTGTTAGTGTATTTTATGTGTGGCCCAACCAAGACAATTCTTCTTCCTATGTGGCCCAGGGAAGCCAAAAGATTGGACATCCTTGACTAAGGTCTAGATATGCTGGAATTAACATATAATCCTCGTTTTTAGAAGAGTTACAGTTGTCATTCCAACTGGCAGAATTTCTATAAGTAGGCTGGATGGTAGTGCTTCCTACTTAAACCAATTTAATATTCCCAAGGCTTTTAAGAAAAAACTTCAGCTCATTCTGTTTTCCCACCACTAAACTTACGGTGAAATATATATCACCTCTGAAATCATGATTTTATCTCACAAATTTCAACCTTACTATCTCAGACCTCCATCTCACTGTGGTGACAAAATAAATGCACAGTAATGGTCAGTGGTTAATGCTGGAAGAACAAAGACCTAGTGCATGAAGACTGGTTGTGCACTCTTATCAAATGCTTTCTTTTCCTACTGACCATTGAAATGGGCAAGGCCCAGGCTCATAGATCTGTTTGACCTGCAGGAACAAAGCAATCAATCACCGTGACTATGGACAGCATCTATGCTACTATGCTTTTGGGCACAAAAATGTTTTTCAATGTGAATGAGGTACATTGTAGTTCAAATTCAGCAGTATATTAAGTGCCTAAGTGCTGACAGGTTTTATTACTTGACTCTGGAGGCAGGAATAAAAGGAAAGGAAAATTATTTAAGTCCTTCAGGAAATAAAAGCATGCTTGCTGGCTTTATTATGAGTATCTGATGATAAGTAAGGGTTAAGTAGCCTTAGAGTCTCAGGGTCAGTGTTCTTTCAGCAAACATTTATTGAATACATACTCATTTTCCTTTATTTCATGAGGATACGTTTGCCCTATCGGCAAGGATTTAAGGTGGCTGAACCCTATTATATTCCAAGCTTTGTGTTAGGTGTTGGAAACACAAAAAATTATATACATTCCTTGCTTTCATGGATCCCATTTCTCAGAAACATAAGTTTCTAGGGAAATAAACTCTTACTCCCAGCCACTGGATTTGAATAGAAATCAGTCTCATTTCAAATAAAAAATATTTTAAATCAAACAGTGTTCTCAAGGATTATGAACCCTGCCAATAATGCAAGAAGGCACAGTCCTAAGGGAAGAGCCAAATAGAAAAAATGAAACTGTCCAGATAATATTTAATATGAATGAAATTCAAACTTTTGATAAGGAATAACTAGTACTATGTCTGCAAGAGCAGGCAAGGGGGATCTAATGGTATCCCCACAAAGTGCCTCACATTGTCTTGTCTGACATGTCAAAATGAGTACATTTCTTATCTTTTTGCTATAAAGTCAAAAAGCAGGCCCTAGACTCAAAAGAAAGCACGGCTCTTGATACCACGTGATATCGAATTTATGTTCTAAGAGTAATACTATATACTGGTAAAATGAATTCATTTTTACTATTTTCACATTATTGATAAAGATTGTGACCACAAAAAGAAAATAAAAGTCCAGGTTCAGGGTGGCAAAAGTAGAATCTGCACATCCACTGGTAATTTGCCCAACTGTTTTCTATGTAGGCTATTACATAATTAATTTGCCCAGTTGTGTTTTCTATAGAAGTTATTTAAAACTAGTAAAACACTCCTTACATCTAAAAATATATAGTATTATAATCCCCAAGCCCCTAAATGCTACCCATAATCAGTTTCCTAAAAACAGTAGAGGGAAAACAAATTTGATGAGATTAAGATGTTTTTAAACATTAATAACAATTTATGGGTCCGGTATGGTGGCTCACACCTGTAATCCCAGAGCTTTGGGAGACTGCGGCAGGCTTATCACCTGAGGTCAGGCATTTGAGAGCAGCCTGGCCAACATGGTGAAACCCTGTCTCTACTAAAAATACAAAAATTAGTGGTGCATGGTGATGGGCACCTGTAATCCCAGCTACTCTCAGGAGGCTGAGGCAGAAGAATTGCCTGAACTCGGGAGGCAGAGGTTGCAATGAACCAAGATCGCACCATTGCACTCCAACCTGGGCAACAAGAGCAAAACTCTGTCTTAATAATTATAATGATGATAATAATAATAATAATTTGCTTGCAGAATACAGATAACATAGAAGGATTTTTCCCAACTCTTGGTAAAAAAAAAAAAAAAAAAAAAAGGTCCAGGTGCATGTACACCGGAAATGAGAATTTACCATGGCGGGGGAAAATAAGCTCCAACAAGCAATCCACATGTGATGCTAGCAGATGAGGCAGAGATCTTGACGGAGTGCTAAGCCTTAGTGACTAAGGAAGGTGCTGGGATGAGCTTCATTTCCCTTGCCAACTCTCCAGTCCATTTAGATGTTCTATGAGGAATCAATCTCAAAAGCCTTTAGTACAACAGGGGAAGAGATATGCTTTGAAATCCCTTGATAAAAACCTCAAAGGAACTCCACTATATTTCAAAGAGCATGAAAAACCACTTCTGAAGAAAAAGACGAAGTTAGAGAGTCTTATTACTATTGAGACTAAACCTATATTTAGAAGGAATCTTGGTAGACATATAGAGCAAATCCAATGTAAGATTCCGTTTCATAGCACATGGGGTAGGTGGTTATTTTAACCCTTGGGCATTCACAGGAACAGGAAATTTTGCTAACTTGAGTCTATTCCTCTTTAGAACAACTCTTATTAGAAAATTCTTCCTTATATTGAAGCAAACATGTCATCTGTGAAGTTCCTCTTTGTTCTTATTTTTGCCCTTTGAAGCTACACAGAGTAAGTCTAATTCCTCTTCCTTTTTATACCTCAACAGAAATTTCGAGGCAGCTATTATATCATTCCCTCCTTGTCTGCACTCCCTTTCCAGCTATACCTTCTGTTCCTTCAGGGAAGCTATTCCTTTGTTCTTGTATCATCAGACCCTTTACAACCCTGGTCACCTGCCTGTGGACACAATCAACTTATTAATGTCTCTCTTAAAATATGATACCCATAATTGAAGTCAACTCTCCATTTAGATATGGACTAGATGGAGGGTTAATGAAAGCATGCAAGGCTTTTATTAACACCAGCTGAACACATTAGCTTTGTGAATAGCCATGATATATTTCTGAGTCAACACTGAACCTCCATTTCTGTAAGGAAATATTTCTCTATAAAGTACTGTGAAACCAGGTCTTCCTAACACTATTCCCATCAACACCACACACATCCATAAATACACACTCCTCTCTGTACTTTGCATTTAAAAAACCCAGAATATAGGGTTTCTCATTAATGCCTATTCAATCATTTTTACTTTCAGTCTTAGTTCAGATATTTCAAAATACTGTAATTATTTCTATATCCCAGTCAATACATATTTAGAATCCAATGATTGTTCACTGAATACATTAATCTTGAATCCATCAGCCAAAAACTGGAGATATTGTTCATTTCTGCGTCATCTACAAATCTGACAAAGTGTGCTTTCTGTCCCCCTACTCTATTCTTCATGGGAGAAAACACCAAGATACAAATAAGAAGAGGTGAGTAGGAATGGATGAAGGAAAAGATTAAGTGTCCCAGAAACAGATGAAGAAAAGGAAGATGGAGTGAGTGTTCTGACTCTTGGAATCAGGATATAATGTTCCAAACATTAGAAAAATATGGCTTTTCCCTGTCTCTATCCTAGAGATGCCTTTTCAATCCATTACGATACTGTGATTATCAAACTCTGAATTTTGGGGGAAAGCTCATGCAAGCTTAATTTTAAAACAGCTTTAAAAATTATCTTTGCAGCTTAAATTTCCTATAAAGTCTGGGTTAAAGGGACATGCAACTGTTTATTGGTCACGAGGTATAAAAAGAACTCCCAAACACCCCTTACAAATGCCTGAGGTATTATCGATATTTGTTTCAGGAATCAGAAATAGACTGTATTTTTCAGTGTGAATTTGGGAATTCACTGAGATTAAATCTACCTCTTGAACTGAACATCATCTTACATTTAATGTCTCTTTTCTCCAGAATGAAGAAAACTAAGCTTCATTTTTGCCTTCCCCTAAACAGCCATTTTGCAGAATGTGGGTCCATTCACAGAATTAAAAAGTCTCCTATTGTGCCTTTTTCCATTGTCTATTGTGACTCAGGATAGCAAATCCTGTGACTGAAACCTTAGAGAGATGGAAAAAGTGTTCCAGTCTAAACAATCTAGAGCCAGAAGGGAAATGTCTTGGAAACTCAACATTTAAAGAATGGAGACACCTCAAAAAGGTCTAGTAAGACCCAAAGAGGAAATTTGTTTTGCACCTTTTCTGAGCCTTTTCTAGACAGAGTGAAAGAGATGGATTCTTAATTAACTTCTCAAGACTGCCTTTTCCGGAAACTTATGCGAGTGACAGATGAACATCAGAAGGGAATCGTGCTAACACTGATGTGGGAGGTTCTTTTCCTGACTGTAACAGTCACAACAAACCACATACCAGTGCTGTGAGATAAGCAGAGACAAGACAAGGAGCCTTAATTATACAGTAAGCTCCAACAGTCAGGTGAACCACGTGCTTTAGGCATGACCAGAATCAAAGAGCCTCTCCAAAAGCCACCATTCTCATGGTTTCCTGGTAAAATACAAGTAACTGCAAACAGGAAGATCTGGTACACTGTTCCCAACATGGAGTGGCCACAGCAGGTATTGACTGAAACTTCAGCTACTCAGGAAGACACCCTATCATGACCCTGGGATTAGGATTCCTTCCCGCAAGGCTTTGTCACTGCACTCCACACTCCTTGGGATTGTCCATTTCATCTCCTTCAAAGTCCGGCTTCAGACTCTTTTTTTGCTCAATTTCCACCTGCCAAGAATAGAAGTTGGAGATAAAGATCAAAAAGAAGAGAAAAGCATGCAAATAAATAAATAAACCAAAACTCCATAGGTGCTTTGAGATTTCTTGTAAGTTTGCTAACGTTTTGGGCTTTAGCCACATTGGAGCTACTGGCCCTGAGTATATCATGTCTCTCTCTTTGTACATGTTCTTTGATTGGCCTATAATTCCCTTTCCCTCATGGTCCACCAGGAAAATTCTTATTCTTTGCCTTGTACATTTGGTCAAAGGTCACCCCTTCTGTGAAGCTATTTTTGACTTACTCAGTAGAATCAGGTACTTCTGCCTGTGAATATCTCCACTGTACCTTGCACACCTCTCTGGCTCTACTATACCATGGGCTCCACAAGACAGGCAGGATCTTGTTCAATATTTTATGCAGTAATGTAGGAATACAGCGGGCAATCGACAAAGATTTATCAAATGAATTAACTCCTTTGTAATTGACTATTTGCACCCCCTCAATACTTGTTTTTTTGTTTGTTTGTTTGTTTGTTTTTTGAGACAGGGTCTCATTCTGTTACCCAGACTGGGGTGCGGCGGTGCAATCTTGGCTCACAGCTCACCACAACCTCCACTTCCCAGGCTCAAGTGATTCTCCTGCCTCAGCCTCTAGAGTAGCTAAGATTACAGGCACGCACCACCACGCCTGGCTAATTTTTGAATTTTTAGTGGAGACAGGGTTTCACCATGTTGGCCAGGCTGGTCTTGAATTCCTGACCTCAAATGATCCACCGGCCTTGGCCTCCCAAAGGTCTGGGATTACAGATATGAGCCACAGCACCTGGCCACCTCCAATACTTTCTCTCTTTAGAAAACCTCCAAACTGGTAAATACTGGAGTGTTTACAGTTCTACCATATCTTCCGCAACATACTGTCGCTGTAATTATCAATAAATTAATAGATTAATCTTTGAAAGTAATACATCTCAACGGAAATCTTTGATAGCTCAGGCAAGGAATTCTTCGAGTTCAGGGTTCAAGCTGCTCCTCTCAGCACCACTTTGGCTATTTATGATGCTTGACCTACAGGGTAATGATTCAACACCCAACAGTCAAGTTTGAGGGAAGTGCTATTTTTTTCCTCGCCACAAGATGGAGTGTTTGTTCCTTTTGGTAGTTAAATATTTTAGCCCACACAACTAAGGAAACATTTAGAGGAACAATAAATCACCATATAAATCCAAGGATATTATTATAAATAGAAAACCACTTTGCAAAATCCTCCTTTAACAAACTCCCTTTCCAGTCGTTGGCATTTAATCTCCTATTGAATTTCTAACTCCCCGGGAATGTATTGCTTTCTGTTTATGTCAGAAAACTAAGTTTCATGATTCCTTCCACAGCCCTGATCCTGTTACTATTATAAACGTTTGCTTGGCTTTTGAGTTTTGTCCTGTTACAGCCCAGTACCCCGGTCATACGTGTCCTAACTTCGTTCAGGTCCACTTCATCAACTCTAACTGAAACATATGCTTTGGGATAGCGCTTTCTCTCCTCTACTTCCAAGCTCACTACTCGGTAACATCAATTATATTGCAAATGAATAATAACTTTACCCCATTATCCTTTTTCTTTTTTTGAGACACAATCTGGCTCTGTCACTCGGGTTGGAGTACAGTGGTGCAATCACGGCTCACTGCAGCCTCAACCTCTCAGACTCAAGTGATCCTCCCGCCTCAGCCTCCTGAGTAGCTGGACTACACGCACATGCCACCATGCCCGGCTAAGTTTTGCACTTTTTACTTTTACATGTTGGCCAGGCTGGTCTTGAACTCCTGAACTCAAGTAATCGGCCCACCTCCACCTCCCAAAGTGCTGGGATTACAGGTGTGAGCCACTGTGCCCGGCCCCCATTATTCTTTTTGTTGTCATTGCTCATAATGACAGAAAGACATTATATTCTCTTTGATGAGCCTCTTTATTTTTTTCCAACCTTTCTCTCATCCACTAGCCAGATGATGCATTTAAATCAGAGCAGACACATCCACAGCTATGTAGGGGGAACTTCCTCTAAGGCAGTAAGAGGTTACCAGGCGAGCACACAGTAAGCATGGCTAAAGGAATAAGAGAGGGAGGGTAGTGGGGTGAACAAATGGACTTGGAAGCATTAGCCAGATGCTTCCCAAGGCTACCTGGTAGCTGTAGTGTGCAGAATAATTGACCCACTTCCTGACATCAGCCTTGTCTTCCACAGAGATAGATCTCACGCTGGCTTTGGAGGCAGAAGTTGTGGGCATGCTGAACTCGACATTCACACGATTGGCAAATCTGGAAGGCACTTCCCGGTCAGAGCCGAGTTCAAGGTGGCAAAAGAAACAGTGTGGGTGACCGGAAGCTATGAAAGAAAGACAATCGAGAGATCAGATTATTTGGGGAGAAAGTGGAAAGAGCAGCCAAAGGAACCACTTCAGTAATAAAGGAGGCCTGTGGGCTCAGCACCTGGCAGGCTTTCAGTGGGTCCAGTGTTGAGCAATAGGAGCCGCCCGGCTCAGCAGAATTCACGCTGTGTGCCTCAGCCCCTTGATATAACTCCATCAGATTCTAGCAGCCTGGTATCCCAACAATAAAACCCAAGGCCTGAGAAACAGGGGCCATCCTGCCTGCTCGGGTGAGAGTGAGATGTGAACACAGCCCAAACACTAAGAAATAAGGGGTAAGGATGTAAAGAATGGAATAGAAGAGATCAGCACTTGGCACCTAATAAAATATCAATGACAGCTTCCTGGAGCAAATCATTGCTTTCCTTTGACGAATGAACTGATTTTCTTAATAGCATTTCATAGTTTCAAAATGCTTTTGGCATGCTTTTGTGTGTGTGAGTGATATATGTAAATGACAGACTTTATAAATAGCACACAGGTATTAGTGAGGCATATGGAACACTGCGCAAAACGCCAACCAGCAGAACACCTGGGTTGGACTTCCAGCTCCCCTACCAAGCAGCAGAGCTCCTGCCCTCAAGTCCTTCATAGTCTCCAGGCCTCAATTCCTCCTCTGTAAAGTGGGGAGATTAGGGTACGAGGAAACAGTACAATATGGTGGACTGGACCATGCCAGGCACAGTCCCTTGCTGCTCCTTAATTCTATACATCTATGGGTAATTCCACTATACTCGTGATGGCAAACTTCGGGTTTGATTTTCACTCGAGAATTGTTATTGAGATTTTTGAGGAAAAAGAGTTAGAGCTTAGTTCTATGACCATAACCACTGACACCACTGTCATTCACCTGCCATATAGGAAGCACTGAAGCACCCTATGACTCGTTCAATGTTAAATCTTTTTTTTTTTTGGAGACGGAGTCTCACACTGTCACCCAGGCTGGAGTGCAGTGGCGCAATCTTGGCTCACCTGCAACCTCCGTCTCCTGGGTTCACGCCATTCTCCTGCTTCAGCCTCCCGAGTAGCTGGGACTACAGGCACCTGCCACCATGCCCAGCTAATTTTTTGTATTTTTAGTAGAGACGGGGTTTCACCATGTTAGCCATGATGGTCTTGATCTCCTGACCTTGTGATCCTCCCGCCTGGGCCTCCCAAAGTGCTGGGATTACAGGCATGAACCACCGCGCCTGGCCTCAATGTTAAATCCTTTACACAGATTCTCTCTTTGAGTCTTCATTAGGATCCTTTGAGGTCAGAATGTTACCTTCATTTTATAGTTGAGGAAGGTAAGGCTTAGGGAGGTAAAATGAGCTACCCACAGTCATAGCTAGAAAGTGGCAAAGCTAAAAACTGAACCTAGCAGGAGGCCGAGGTGGGCGGATCACGAGGTCAGGAGATTGAGACCATCCTGGCTAACAAGGTGAAACCCCGTCTCTACTAAAAATACAAAAAATTAGGCAGGCGTGGTGGCAGGTGCCTGTAGTCCCAGCTACTCAGGAGGCTGAGGCAGGAGAATGGCATGAACCTGGGAGGCAGAGCTTGCAGTGAGCTGAGATTGCGCCACTGCACTCCAGCCTGGGGGACAGAGCGAAACTCTGTTTCAAAAAAAAAAAAAACAAAAACTGAACCTAGCAGTCTGACCCCAGAGTGTTCTTAACCACTTTGTCTGAGTCATTACCTCATGGTCCCCAAAACACAAGACCAAGTTTGCAGGGTGACAGGGGTAGAGGGGGATTGAGCTATAAGAACCCCCATATAGCAACTAGCTATAGATAAACAACATAAAATGATCTTGCCTTAATTATGTAACTGAAACAGCCCCTTAGTTATCCCAGTTTCCACAAACAAACAATTCCAATGTTCTTTATTGGTCTGGCCAGGACTTTTCAATCTCAGAGAGTGAGGACATACACACCCGCTCTCCAAGGAAAACATTAGATAGTGAAGTATTTGTTTTGCTCTGTTTCACAGACAACATATTTCAGTGGTTATTTCTAAAGAGTAAAGCTTTGGAAAATTGAAAAATGTGCACTAATTTTAGGAAAAGAATTTAAGTAAGATACATATAACAGTAAAAATTAAATTACTTGAAAATGAATCCATTCAATGTTTTTAAATTGTGTGCCACAGATGTAATGATACAACTATCATTTATGGTACATTTTATTACAGGCCAGATACTGCGCTAAGCCCTTAAAAGCATTATCTCATTTCATTCTGAATGAACTAGATATTAATAACCCTATTTTATAGATGAGAAAAATTAGGTTTCTCTGAGAGGGTTAAGTAAATTGCCCGAGGTCACACAGCCATTAAGTGGTAGAGCTGGAAATAAGATTCAGAGATGACTCTGCCTTCAAACTATGTCCTAAATTCTTCTCAATATATTGCTGTGAAATTAGATCACAACCAAGTATACAGAAGCATCTCTTAATTTAGCAACTTGGACAACTCTTTTAATCTAATTACACTTATTTTGCACATTGTTGGAATATGGAGAAATCTTTCCTTTCTACCCAACTGATTCCCTCCTTTTACTCCACCAAAGTGTATTCACAGCAAATTCGGAAAGCAGCATTCTTTCCTAGAATTCTAGCATCAACTCTCAGATGGGTAAGGGTGGTGGACAGTTAAGGAAGTTCAATTTTGAAAGCTATTGTGGTTTAATTCATAGTAATGCATTAAATAAGTCCACACATGCTGTCATTTTCCTTGATGAGGTTGAGAAAATTCAACAAAAAATTCAGATTTTTAAAATTTCCCATACAAGGATGATCATATTGGGACTGTTTTCCCTCTACCAGGTCTAATGAGAACGGGGGGCTTCCTGCAAAGAAAGCCACGTATGCAGGACAGAATGTTTCATTTCCTGGCGGATGATCTGTGGAAGCAGCAGGACTTATGTTGGTGCCTTCTAAGATTAAGAAAAACTCCCAGCACTTTGGGAGGCTGAGGCGGGCAGATCACGAGGTTAGGAGGTCGAGACCATCCTGGCTAAGATGGTGAAACCCCGTCTCTACTAAAAACACAAAAAAATTAGCCACGCGTGGTGGCGGGTGCCTGTAGTCCCAGCTACAAGGGAGGCTGAGGCAGGAGAATGGAGTGAACCCAGGAGGCGGAGCTTGCAGTGAGCCAAGATGGTGCCACTGCACTCCAGGCTGGGTGACAGAGTGAGACTCCATCTCAAACAAAAAAACAAAGAAAGAAAAACTCTTGGGATGAGGGTGGGCGGGGTCCTTGGAGAGCTCAGAGAGGGGAGCTGCCACCTATGTGGCTGGGCTGGGCCAGGCTGGGCTGGGCCCCGCCGGCGGGAGTCACGTTGGAATTCAAAGGTGGCTGCTTGGTCTCTTGGTGGCTGGGAATGGGACAAGCCTGCTGTGGCTATAGGCTAGGGATGCCAGCAACACAAGGGTGATGACCTGCTGGCGTCTGTTGCCTGGGCTCTGACTGCCCTGCCCACTGGGGCCTGGGAATGCGGGGCCACTGTAGGCAGGAACGTGTGAGGAGAGGTAGGCTTCCAGCCAGCCGGACCTTTGACTTCAGCTGAGCCCCAGCTTCCTTAAAGAAGGTTAAGGATTACAAAAAGTAACCTGTACAAAGCATCTTCCCAGGGCTGTCTGAACACCTAGACAGAAGAGCCCAGGAAAGGGCTATTACCAAAAGATAACCATCAATTCTCTGGGTTCCCGGATGAACACTGCCAAGGAGGCCAGGAGCTGGGCACACTGAATACCAGCAGTGGGTGACAACTTCCATTCTGCCTGGAATTCAGATCCTACACACCACAAGTTTCCAAAAAGGGTGCTGTCCATTTCCCGAATGGGTATGGAAAACATACCATTGACCAGAGAAGTATAAGAAGCCTCTTTTTGGGGTTTCACTATTGAAAATATTGTTATATAACCATGACAGCAAAAGCAGTAATGGGGCAAGGCTGTGAGGATTTAAGTAAGAAACATCAACAGATATCCTTGTGCTGTGCTATATTTCAAAAATCTTCCACAAACGAGGTTCCAGCAATCTGGAAACAGATATGTAAAACAGCATATAAGCTGCATTTACTTGCCCTTGAGCCAACAGAACACCCTCCACTGGGAATCATTAAGAAGAGTGTTTGCTGAAGGCCTGGTTTTGCTTTTTCCCTATCCTGTATCCATCCTCCCTCTTTTCTGAGCAGTCTTTTTCTTTCTCTCCTTTTGGGAAATAATCTTCCCCAGGGCTACATGTTGTCTTGGTGGTCACGTCAGTCAAAACACACTCCTCTCCCCTAGTCTCTTGAGCCAAGCTGCAAAAGAACAAAAAAATAGGGCCGGGGCGGTGCCTCAGGTCTGTAATCCCAGCACTTTGGGAGTAGGAGGCAGGCAGATCACCTGAGGTCAGGAGTTCAAGACCAGCCTGGCTAACATGGTGAAACCCTGCCTCTACTAAAAATACAAAAATTTAGCTACTCAGGAGGCTGATGCAGGAGAATCGCTTGAACCCAGGAGGTGGGAGTTGCAGTGAGCCGAGATCACACCACTGCACTCCAGCCTGGGTGACACGCTGAGACTTCATTTAAAACAAAACAAAACAAACAAACAAAAAACAAAAAATAGTCTGTGATGATCTGTCCTAAGGCTACAGGCTGAGGAGATATCCATTAGTCTCTAGGACCAGAGCTACTCTACTGCTGTCTTTCTAAAGTCTTCTGGATCAGTTTTTTCCTCAGGTCTCTGAGCTATCCCATCCAATAATTTGTTTTGTTGCTTAAGGTAGCCAATAAGTCTTTGTTACTTATAATAATAATTAAAAAAAACCTTTATGCAGTACTTTTAAATGTTTGGGAGAAATCACTTTGAGACAAATAGACACGTTTGTACTCACTGGAAAAACTGCAAATATCTGTTCTTCTGGTGGAAATGATTTCAATATTTGTGTCTATTTGGCTCCATCTATCAGGAGACACCGGTGACAGATTGAGAAAAGGATGTGACTGCATGACTCTCTAGATGCGTCACATCACCTTCCCGACCTTAATTTTCTCATCTATAAATAACCTAAGTTATCCCCAAGGTCCCTTCCAGCTTGAAAATCCGGTAATTCCATGGTTGTCTCTTTCCAAGGGCTTCCGTGTCAGAGGAGAGGTCAGGGTCTTCTCTCTTCCTCTGTCAGGTCAGAGGCGCCCCGTGGATATGGTAGAAGTTACAGTGCTACCGCCAGCAGAAGACAGTGCTGATTTCAGGGGAAATGAATAAGCAGGCACAGAGAGGAACACTTGGTTTTAAAAATTCTGTCAGTTTAGAAATCCAGCCTCAAACAGAGGTCCAATTGTCTCTTCAGTTTGCACAGCTACACCCAGTGTCTGATACAGAACGCCCTGGTGTGTGTCCATTCCCTGGATTGCCTGGGGAGCTGGCCAGATCACATTGCCGTCTGCCATCACACTGCTTTACACTTAGGATATAATAATACAGCCACTTCACACTCAGCGCGGGAGAGGAAGACTCTGAACACACCGCTAGGATTTATAGTGAGAATGGAAGAAAGGATTGCCACATAAGAGAAAGCCATTTCAATCAAGAGTTTTTCCAAACCTTATTCTTTTTGCTCAGCTAGCATATCCACTTTTGTTAACAGATGGGCAAAATGTATTCTAAACAAGAAAAGAAGGGTTTTAAAGGCTTACAAGATCATGGGCTTGCTGCCTACCATTGGGGTCACCCAGACATACTCTAAGAAATATATGTATTAGTGCTGGTTTGACTGCTCCCTCACTTTGTCATTTCACTAAATCTCTCTGGACCCACGGGGGAAGTAATTGCCCTCTGCACTCACTCAAGCACAAAAGCATCCCTGATAGCTGTGAGCAGTCCAGCTAGGGCTGGTAAGCTTTTTTTTTTTTTTTTTTTTGGTCTAAATAAAACATTCTTTTCTTTATATTTTGTCTGCTAGAATTCTGGCCCTTTTAGAAATTCATGTCCTAGCTGGATCTTCAGTCTGATTGAAGGCCACTTTTCTTTCCCATCCCCCAGTCCCAGAGCCAAACTCTGAACTTGAGATATTATGACTGACAGGCCTTGCACAGGGTAGCTGGAGTCATAAAATTAACCTCTCAGTGTATTGTCCATGACTGGCCATAAACTGGCCCTTTTACCTACATCGAGGGCAGTGTGAGAAAGATGTCTCTTCAGAAGCCATCCAGAAATGAATCACTTCCAGCACCACAGCTAATACGTTAATGAGTCCCCAAAGAATATAAATTCAGAAGCTGCCCTGAAAAGCTGCTTAGCAGCTCAGCTGAGAAGAATAATCCCTAGTTTTATGGAAGATGTGTGATAATGAGGGGGTGAAAAGACAGAGTGGACTGGGACACTATACACATTACTTACCTTGCTCAATTATTTTTACTTTTCTGATCCCACTCCCCCTCCATCACCACTCCCATCACACAGTAAAAACAAGCACTTCATACAGGATGTGGAACTTTGATCTCAGCTTTTTTACAACTGTATGTTTGTTTTCACAGAAGAGGAACCACCACCCACCTGAGTTTTTGTCGGGCAGTCGGTTTATCCTCCACACAATGGAGTTGAAGGCATGCTCATACTTGGCAGTTCCCAGAGTTACTCTCATGACAGGCTCAGAGCCAGAAACACTAGTGGAGCCAAAACTTGCCCCCCGGTTCACTTTGGCTTTCAAAGACTTTTCCCCCAGGACACTTTCCCTGCGGAAGTTTTTCACCCACTCACTGGGCACAGGGTAACGGATCATCACATTCTCACAGGGAACCTGAGTGAGGGGGTCACGATTGGAGGAAAAGCCAGTTGACATCCTCAGCCAGCTCTGCACCTCCACCTCTGCCCCATTGACGCTTGCGGCTGTCCTGAGTGTGAAAGGCAAGGTCTTCTCAGCAAACACTGTCCTGAACCGCATTAGCTCAAACCGGCACGCATCCAAAGGGTTGAACAGAATGACCCGCGAGTTGTGGAATACATCCTCATCCACACACCCGTGGAAACGGCACTCATGGAGCTTGATCCACTTTGTGGTGGTGGTGGGCATGATGTCCTGCCTCAAAACTATTTCATTCCCTTTGACGAGGACATCATTGAGGCCCAGGCGGCACTCTGCGAGCCCAGACAGGAAACTCAGGATGTGGATCCTCGTCAAGACATGGTGCTGGAGAATCTGGTTGTCTCCTTTGCTCACAGTGCCAGAGAATTCATCTCTGACATCCACTGTAATCTCCTCTTCAAGGTAGTTCAGGCCAACTGTGCTCAAATCCATTGACAACACTGGCAGATCCATGAGACGGTCCTGAACTGCATGGATGAAACTCAGGAAGTCATCGTAATTGGTGGTGCCCAGCTTAATCACCTGTTCCCTCTCTGCTGTGTGAGCCACAGCAGGTTTGGGCTGGTATTTCTTCTTCTCCTTATAGGTGACACGGTCTATTCGCAAGCTGTGGATTCTGCCATTCTCATCATAGTTTTGAAGCCGGGGTTCTGAAATCTCGTGACAGATCTCCAGCTTGAACTCACGGAATGGTTTTTCTAGGCCCTGCTCATAATACAGCTGCAGGTAACCAGCATCTGTCAGTTTGACGTAGATCGGTCCCCAGTGCCTGGAGGACATGATGTTTTTCTTCTCAGGGATCCTCAACATCATTGGCCACCCGTCACGGGGCTGGGACCGTGCTGATCCAGGCGGGTGAGCATCTAGTTCAATCCAGGCTATCGGGTCATCATCAGGTAGAGTTGCACTGCCAAAGTGATCAGGGTCATCAATTTGGAGTTGTTTGAGTTTTTCAACAGCATCAGAGTGTGACTGGGTTTTGCTTGAATCATCAAAACTGATGGCATCCTGGTAGATGACAATGAGGGAATCTCTTTGGCTTTTGCCCGTGGTACTGGAAATGGAACTGTTTTGGGAGCGCCTCTCCTGTTCCTCAAAGAAAGCACTGAAAGGGTTGATAGGGGAGGGCTGTACATCCTGCAGAGTCTCATTCAGGAAAGGGTTGGTTGCCCTCCAAGGTGGAGCCTCAGCTACAGAAGGCGTGCGGTTTAAAGAGGAAATGTCCAGCTTCTGAACTTTGGAGAAGTTCATCAAAGTGCTCTTGGGACGGTCCCTCTTCTTAAATCCCATTGAATTATAAGGTACATCTGGGATCACAGATGCACTTAGTGGAGTATTTGGCTTCAGAGGAGAGGTGATTGGTGCTAAAGGGCAGCTGACTTCATTGTCATCAAAGGTGACCCAGCTGGGAAAACGAGCAGAGGTCATTGGAGGGGGAGGGTGCCCATTCATGGCTGGACTGCTGGCCTGCCAGCTGATGGCCTCCATTTCTACTTCTTCATCTTCCTGAAGTGAGGAGGAATTGTCTAAAAGGAAAAAGAGAACGTATGAGCTACTGTTCAGGGGCTCTAGAGGTAAGGAAAACTGAAGTATGGGAAGGAGGGATTACTAGAATTTCAACTGGAATCCAGTACATTCCAAAGCAGCTCATTACCTGTTTCAGGTGCTTAGTCTGGGTGTAGATCTCACATATTTGTAACAAGCACCCCAGAGGAGCTATCACATTAAGTGCAATAAGAACACAATGGCTATATCAATACAGAAGTATTGACTGGTAGTACCAAGGTCTCTTGCAATTTATATACTCTTCCTTGTTTTAAGCTTCTGGAATAGATGTTTTCTGTACTTAGCTTTAAGAAATGTATTCTTAATTTTTAAACATTGAAAACCATCTCCTATATAAAATTATATAAGCTCATCTCACTGAAAAAAAAACAAGTTATCTTCTGTAAGTGATAATACGATCACAAATAATATTCTTGGAGGGATTTTAGCCTAAACACAATGATTAAATAATAAAGACAAATGGTCAACCTTCTTAATTCACTAAGTTCATACATGTGAATAAGAAAAACACAAAAACCCCAATAGAAGTCCGAGTAAAGAACATACACAGATAATTCATGAAAGAGAAACTAAAAAATGTCTAATAAGTATGTGAAAAATATCCAATCTCACCAGTAATAAGAAAAATGGCCGGGCGCGGTGGCTCATGCCTGTAATCCCAGCACTTTGGGAGGCTGAGGTGGGCGTATCACGAGGTCAGGAGTTCGAGACCAGCCTGGCCAACATGGTGAAACCCAGTCTCTACTAAAAATACAAAAAAATTAGCTGGGCGTAGTGGCGGGCACCTGTTATCCCAGCTACTTGGGAGGCTGAGGCAGGAGAATCTCTCGAACCCGGGAGGTGGAGATTGCAGTGAGCCGAGATCGCGTCACTGCACTCCAACCTGGGCAACAGAGGAAGACTCCGTCTCAAAAATGAAAAATGAAAATTAAAAAAAAAATCAGTGAAGATTCTGAAAGATTTTAGTGCTCAATGAGGGTAAGGGTGCCATAATAGGAGCACTACGTGGACGCTTAATGAAACTGTAAGTTGCAACAGATGCTCTGAAAAGACTGGGCAATTTATATTAAGGACCTTAGCACATGTTCATAAACAATGACTCAGTAATTCTACCCTAAGAAAATAAATCTAAATTATGAACCAAGTTGGAAGAACAGAGATGTCCATTTTGGCATTATTTATAATAGGGAAAAATATTTTAAATATTCAACAATTGGGTAAGTGTTAAGAAATTGAAGCCTACAATAAAATAATACCCACCCACTAAAATGTTTACAAGTATGCCGTATATCATGAGGAAATGCTCATGATATAATCTTTTTTCCTCTAAAATATTTTTTCCATCTTGAAGTTTATTTTTTATGATAAAAAGGTTATTACAAATAAAACTCCACTTTAGCAGGGCCTTCCAGGAAGGAGATATAGGACTTGGGTTTGATGAGGGAAAGATCTAAATTTTTTCAGTAACCTAAGGACCGTGGGTATCTGCTGGGGCTGTGGGAAGGGAGGGGAAATGAGGCTTTTAGCAAGGAGGAATGAATTCTGATGAAGGAACAGCACAGACAACAAATGTGTGCATATAGTAGGTACTCAATAAGGTTTTTTGATAAAATAAGTGAGAAAATAAACTTTGCTTTAGAGTAGCTCTTCCATTCTCTACGTCTCTGCAGGAATGTGTATGAGAGATCTCTGCTACCATCCCACCCACTGTTTCGATGGCCAGTCGTTTGGAATCAAAGGGAAACGGATACTTGAATGATTGAGTTTTCTGACCACCTCACTACACCTTCATGCGTATCACATCCAACCACACCATCAGCAATGCTGCACATAATTGCACATGCAATTATACAAGGATGGGATGCTGACTTGTCATCCGTCTTTCCAAGTAATTTATTCAAACAGATAGCAATTCTCTCAACTGAAAACGTCGGTTTGAAAATGTTAGGCTAGGCCGGGCACGGTGACTCACGCCTGTAATCCCAGCACTTTGGGAGGCCGAGGCAGACACATCACTTGAGGTCAGGAGTTCAAGATCAGCCTGGCCAACATGGAAACCCTGTCTCTACTAAAAATGCAAAAATTAGCTGGGCGTGGTGGCACAAGCCTGTAATCCCAGCTGTTCGGGAGGCTGAGGCAGGAGAAGCGTCTGAACCTGGGAGGCAGAGGTTGCAGTGAGCCAAGATGGCGCTACTGCACTCCAGCCTGGGTGACAGAGCAAAACTCTGTCTCAAAAGAAAAAAAAGAAAAGAAAAAAGAAAAGAAAATGTAGGCTAAACACGAGTATGCATATACATATACACATATCCATACCCACCCCAGAAACATAATGAGCAAAAAGCATTTTCTATATATACAGTGACTAAAAAGGATTCTAAAGTATTTTTAAATTAAAGATGACAATCTCCTTCAAATTAAGCATGAATCCAGTTTTGTATATACATAAGTGATTTATTTTCTGAAAACTGAAGGGAAAACGGTCAGGAAACAACCTACACTCATAGTTTTTATATTTTATTTATCATTTTGGTAACAACGTCTAAAAGGAACATTGTGGTCCTGAGTGAAATATAATCACTTCCTTGGAATGGTTCTTGATCCTGTCTAGAGAACGGGAAAGGGGTACATCTCAAAACTCATCAATTTCTAATGAGGCAGCTCTAGAGAGTCTTTGTGATGTAGTGTTTCCACCCAAACAATCTCTACTGGCCCAGCCCTGGCATCAGGGTTATCCTTTTTGTCCTGGAGCTCACTCTCTAGTTTAAAACAAGCTGAAGTCCTTTTTCTTTGGAGGGGGGCTTTCTGCCAAAGCTGTTTACACTTGCTGCCAAAGGATTCCCTTCTGTTGGGAATCTTGTCCTCAAAACAGCCCTTCTCATCTTCTCCTGAGCCAGAAATGAAAAGAGAAAAAAGGGCCTTTGTCCCGACTGAAGATCATTTTCTTACAATAAATTCCTTTTCAAACTAAGTTAGTTTAAATCACACCAAGTCCTAAACATTTTTGAAACATTAGCGTTATAATACAAACTAAATGAGTGTCTTTAAATTTGAAGGGAAATGTTTGAATTCAATTAATTTCTAGGGATGCTATTTTCTTTTTGACAGTCATTAAAAAATATCAAAAGACTTCGACAAAATTATCTTTCCTTTGACGGTTTCATGTTCCATAATTACATGAGTTTTTAAAACTTATTCTCTGGGATGGTAGCAGGGCATAGGTGAAATTTCTGCAATTGAGTTTTTCTTTTTCTGTGAAATAATTTATTTAAAGAAATCCGAGAATTTTAAGAAATAAATTATAAGAGTTTACTCTAAGGAAATAACAGGACAAGCATGCAACGATGTACACAGTGATGTTTAGTATGGCAATGTTTCTATCACAGAAAAACATGAAAAAACCTGAATGCCCAACCATGGGAGACTAGTTACATCAGTTGTTATATCCTTAAAATGAAATTCCATGTAGCTGTCAAGATGATGCTCTGATGCATGTTAATTCACATGGAAGTTGACTAGGACATATTGTTGAGTGAATAACAGGAAGCACCTAAAATCTGCAGTCAAATTGCTTGGGTTTCAACTCCATACCTATAGCATTTTAGATATGTGATTCTAGGCAAGTCTTAAATTTCCCTCTATCTCAGTTTTGCTATATATTTAATTAGGGAAATATTAAATCCTACCAGACAAGCAAATAATAAATGCTCAGTAGATGTAGGCTGTTCTTATTACTACTACTACTACTACTACTATTACTACTACTACTACTACCACCACCACCACCACCACTACTACTGGAATGATAATGTAGTATGTATGTATTAGAAAGCTTTGGAATATAATAATCTCATAATATTTTGGTGTGAAAACAAATCTCTCATGGGATAAGAGGTGATTTAAAAAATTTGAAATCTGTATTCTTTCTTTCAAAAACTGTGATGTTGCTTACAAAAGAAAACAACATAGCATTGTAATAAAAATTATAATAAAAGTTCAAAACATCTCTTTATTATTACTACTAATTAACCTTAGAAAAAGGAAATAAACTGCTTAGCTGTAGTCTGTATTGAGAAAGCAGCGGTTAGATCTTTCCCAAGACAATTATGGCCGGTGTGGCTGGGACTGGAAACAACGAGAGGGGGAAAAGCTGGCACATTTCTCTGGCAAGAAATAGGCAAAAACCAAGTATCTTGAACACAAAACTAATTCTTCTCCACAATTCAATTTACTGATTTATTAAAATAAAACAAAAAACTAAACTCCAGCATGATTTTAATTACTGTCTCTTCCACTGGCTACCTCCAAATTGTTTTTATTATGAGTTGGGCTGCTGCCAAACAAAAGCCATGTGCAAGGATTAGGTTCTCATTCTATACCACAGGGAAAATTTCCAGTACCTAAGAGGTTCCTAGTGTCTTTACTGATGCCAACTGAAGAGAAGTGGTGGATTCTTTTAATGTTAGGCCACAATCTATTTCAAGTTCCTAAAAGATTAAATTAAATAAAGTGATTTCAGTAGTCATCAAAGCCACTAAAACTGAATAAAAAGAACTATGGGAGGAAAATTAAGTGTCTATATTTTGAACACAGAGACTCTACTATCTTCTTTCCCTTATTTGTTAACCTAATTTGTTAATGCAGTGACAAATACAAAACAAAAGTATTGATAAATGTTCATTGGAATTTATTAGGAGTGGCAAGAACAAATGTTCTAAGATCATTGCAGGCTTCTAAACATGCAGCAGCACTGACTGTTACATAACGGCATATAAAGGCATACCTCGTCTTTTTGCACTTCACAGATACTGCATCTTTTATTAACAGAGGATCTGTGGCAACGCAAAGTCTGTCAGCACCATCTTTCCAACAGCATGTGCTCACTCTGTCTCTGGGTCACACTTTGGCAATTCTCACAATATTTCAAACATTTTCACTATAAATATATCTGTTACCGTGATCT